TAGATATTAATATTAATATCAACGTGGAAGTGTGTGTAAATTATTTGAATCGTTTTACCAGTAATATCTACGTCCTTCGGGGTCAGTAGCTATTTTTTTGTTATATGAATCCTTACTATTAAGATAGAAATTCAAAAGTTTGTGACTATATTTGTAAGAATGTATTTTTGTTACGCTTTCATGCAAAGACTACTTACTATACATATTTTAATGAAATTTCGTACATGGGTAGAAGATATCCTAAGTTAAAATATATAATACTTTATATATTGATTCACACGGCCAAAGACGGGGATTATAGCTAGTATTATAAGTATGAAAATAGGATTATTATTACCTCTCGTTTCGACTTATCGTCATCAAATTTGAATACTTATATTTAAAATAAGAAAAGAGAACATTCCTTTTTAAAAGACCGGCGGTACACCTATAATTCCTTCGGTGGTAAGTACTAATGAACGGTAATCACTTACCATCAGATGAGCAGCACGTTTGCTTACCCTCTGTGTTATAAAAAAAAAATGGAGAAAAACATAGGCTACTTTTTACCTTTGTCAATCAATATGCCAGGTCATGTGGACAAAGTCACAGGTATAGCTAGTATTGTAACAATAAAGGAATCCATACATGTTCTATACAAAGTACATATTTATGACATGCCCTTTGTTTATTGTCTATTCTTTAGTCTTTGAAGTATCGACATAGTAGTGCAATTAGGTATTCTATGGTATTTGTTTCTAATTAATATTTATAAGTATATATAATAGTATGTAATATATAGTGAATAATTTTTTATAAGGTATAATCTTTTTAGAAAAAATCCAAATCGGTTTACGAATGAAGAAGTACTGAGGTATCTAGCACACAGGCCAGCAGCACAGCTGCAATGTCTCTGGTGTTGTGGGTGATCATGGGCGGCGGTAGTCACTTACCATCAGATGAGCCGCATGCTCGTTTGCCCCCCATGTTGTAAAAAAAATCAAATATAAATAAAATACAACCGGATTGAGAACCCTTCTCTTTTTTGAAGTCGGATCTAAATCATGAACTGATTTATATCCGACTTCAAAAAAACATCTTTAAAACCTTTATTTAAATTAATACATATTAATTTTATACTATGTTACCTATCACGGATTGTTTAGAAAAATATATAATAGTGGAGTTGTTGATGATGATGATTTTTATAAAATGGTACATGCAGTTTACAGGTATGTATGCATTACTCGTTGCAGATAGAGGTATGACACCCGAGTCCTCATGAATAGCAACACATGGGGTTTCAAGAGTGAAATAGTATACTCTGTTATGTCCATGGTACTGCTCATATCTATAAGCGACGGTTACCACTTTCCATCAGGTGGGCCGTCAGCTTGTTTGCCATGGACATAACAAAAATTTTGTTAGAGAAAATGCATCAAAATTGGTTTAGTAGTTTGTTTCCAAATCAAAATAATTAGTTTTGCAACGAATAATGTTGAGGTTTTTTCAACCGACTTCAAAAAGAAGAAGATTCTTCATTTCTATTCTCACAACTTTGTCAGATGTAAACCGATTTGGACAATTATTTTTTTTATCTAAAATTTTGTCCAAAACGTTTCGGTAGTTTAGTTTTGAAATGAAATTAACTAACTTTGGAGTTTTTTTTTTTTTTTTGAGTGGAGCACAATCTAAATTATTTCATAACACAAAATCTACTTGTTTAAAAAACACTGCAATAAAAATACCTCAAAATAACATGGGTGCTTAAAAAATAACAATCTCCAATGCAATTAAAACAATGTGGCTTTAATTGCGTAATGATGTAGGGTGTTCGGTTCTCAGTCGGACTTTTTTTTTTTTCTCTCTTTTCTAAATTAGCTCGGCTCTAGGTGTGCCCCCAGATGTACGTTGTGTGATTCCTTATAATGCAGTATCCTAACTTGAAAATCAGGCAATGGGTGTGACTGTCTAGCCTATATTTACCTACCTATTATTATTATTATCACATGATTTAACCAAAATGGTCATGCACATTGCGGTTTTAGAAGAGCTGTCTCCCGCGAACACTCAGTTGTAGAACGATCTTCCTAGATTTTCTCTAGAGCCTACATATGGGGGTTTTCAAAAAGTGCTTTCATAAGATTTCTTATGGGTCGATCGTACGCGTGATATTCCTGGTGTTACAGAAGCCCATAGGCTAGGGTAACCTCATTTACCATCAGACAGGCAGTTATCTTGTTTGTTACCGTAGTAGTATAAAAAATGAATAAAACGGTTACAAATGAAGAAGGTTAAAGGTGTTTATTTTTAACTTTTTCGACTCCAAGGATGCGCTGCATCCGACTACTGGCGGCCATATTTCAAACGCGTTGGCGAATAAATTCCATGCTAGCACTGATTAACGCTATCGCGTCGGAAGTGCGCCGGCGCTTTTCGACAGGGATTTATCCATTCATTAGCTAAATACAGGCTTTAGATACGCTAATTGAGTCGATTGATTAAGAGAGCTTCTCGCAACTTTCTGTTGTATACCATTTTGGATATAATGGAGTTAGTCCAGGAAAATTCATTTGTAAGAGACAATTGTTGCACTACTGCTTTAGTAAATACGGTATTCTAATTTATAGTCTGTTATATTGAATTCTATCTATAGGACTTGAATATTGAAAGGCAAATTGTCCAACAACAACAAAAATCATTAAATTTTAATTAATATTATCGTTTGTTTCTTTTACCAGAGGGAGACTTTGTACAAAAGTCGATTGCTTGGGTACCTCTGTCCCATTCGTGTTTCAATCGTGAAGCAGTTGTGTTTGCATAGCTGTGTTTCGGTTTGAAGGGTGGGATATGGCGTGAATTTACTGAGTACAGAGGAATAACACCTGAGTCCTCAGGAATGGCAACGCATGGGGGTATCATGGGCGAAACAGTATACTCTGTTATGTCCATGGTACTGCTCATGTCTATAGGTAACGGTTACCGCTTTCCATCAGGCGGGCCGTCAGCTTGTTAGCAATTCTAAGTTGTATAAAAAAAACACAGCTACACTATTGAACTTAATACCTATATTTGTTGCGTATCTAACAGCCTCATTGCTAGCAATATACTACATCATGTTGACCTCCAGACGATTTCCACTGGAAACCATCTTGGTTATTTCTTTATGTATTCGTCACTATGGGCCAACGGACCCGTGTCATCCTCACCTATTATTACTCACTGGTGCCTCGCCAGCGAATACCGATAGCGTGGGCGGGACTAGCATTCCATTCTCATCCATTAAAATACCTATATTTGGACGGAATTAGACAGAGAAATTATCTAAAGTCAGGACATAAGTACCTACCTACCTATGTAATATGAATAAAAATTTCAAGAGAATAAACGAAGTTTTAGCTAAATTAATTTATCTTGTCTTACATATTAATAACTTTATACCCTTTCATGAATTTAGTTGCAATTGCAAATATATTGTTATTTACAATTATATAAAAAATAATACCCTAATAGTTCTTTTTTTACACCGAAGTACTTTACGATTAAAAAAAAATAATCACCAAAAGGTCATCATGTTGTTGCAAACAAAAAAGTACAATCTAATTATGTACTTTCTCGAAGTAATTGGAAAGTGATAAACTTATATAAAAATTAAATACAGATGATATAAATAAAAAGTAAAACACACTAAAAAGTTTTTTATTTCAAAGTCAATTAAAATTGTGCTTTAAGCTAGTTCAACGGAGTCAGCGTTACATCCTAAACAAAGTAATTCAGAGCAATGCGATCTTGCGATATGCTATCTCCCATCAAGTCTATTGTGCCTGTATTGTTACATTTAAGACAGGCAGTTCGAGCTCCTAATTGCGCACAAACTAACCGCATGGCGCGTGCTAAGGGCACAATGTAATTACTTTTATAAATCCACTAAGCTATTTACATGTAGATAATATCAAAGGTTGCGACTTTTGTCTCGGTTACGGTCGAAATATCTAACTGTACGCCGCTCGGGAACATCCATCTTGGCTTGACGTTTCGCACCTTTGTTGCTAATTAGGTAGTTTATATTCTTAGAGCTACTTAATTGAATCTAGAAATTTTATTTCTCTTTTGTAAATCTTCATGGATTAAACAACATTTCTAGACTGTTGATTGCTATAATAAATATTGTCAAAATAAATTGAATGCATTTCTTTTATGACACGAATGTGTTTATAGTAAGGAATAAAACACGTATTTTTGTTTGTTTGTAAAACAAAAATGAAAGCTATTTTTTTTTAAGTGTTAAGAATGAAAGTAGATATAAACATAGTGGACGACTACAGAAATGGTGGATGGACTGTGTGAAAGATGATATGCATAAAAGAGGAGTGAGCTCAAAAATGACGGTTGACTGGGATTTGTGGAAAAAGAAGATAGATTGCGACAACCCCAATAAATGGGGAAAAGCAAGACAATGATGATGAGTAATGTAATTTTACTTTAGTAAAAAAATTTATAATGCTTATTAATATTGTAAATATGAAAGTGAGCTTATCGATTAATTTGTTACTTCTTTAACCAAGCGCTAGGAAATTTAATATGGAGAAAGACATAGTCTACTTTTTGTCACAGTTAAATATATCTCGGTCATATGGATGAAGTTGAAAACAAAAGCTAATTAAATACAGCAAAAAATAAATACACAAAATGCTGCATCTTGGAAGTTTTATAAACTATCAATTCAGTGCCCCAACTGGCACTACAGATATGATAAATCCAAATCTAGTTAACATTTGTATCTTCCAACAGATTACGAAATCTATCGAAGTAAGGATCCTTAAATTCCAAAAGTTTCCCAAAATATTTTAGTTATACGCCTTCGATGGCGAAATATCCTAAAAAATTTGAAGTAATAGAAGATTGCCAATTAGCTAGGACTACTGGTTGTTCGTTACACTGTAATTCAGTGCTATTCTCAAACAAACCTCTAGTATCTTCAGCAAAGACATATGTATGCGAAAAATGTAATACAATCTTACCTTTCAACTTAGTCTGGCATCTCAATTGATCGATGATACTCGTCAATCGATTCTCCCTGTTGATAGTAGGCTTTACTATTTCATCACCTTCATCCACTTCTTCTTTCACTGACACTTCACTTTTCACTTCGGTGACATCATCACTACTTTTCACGTTTCCTGTTTCAGTGTTTGACTCAACTGTTTCCATTTTCTTATCGTTTTGTGTTATCTTAAGGACTTTTAAGACAAAGTTAATACTTCGATTTTCAAATATTAGCAAGTAATTCAAATTGTATAAAATGTTACTTTTAAATTCTATTATCGACACAAGTACACGCATAAATTCAATTCAATTACGTTTTGATAAAATTATTCATGGTTGAATCATCGCTAGTTTTGTTATAATAGATCGATCATAGAAACTGATCGATACAAAGAAATATACAAGTTTATGCTTTTATTTTAACAATAGTATTCACTAGTAGAGCACCATTCATTCCATATACTATATGAATATTGTATTGAGTCTTATCTCCATAGAAATAATGTTGAAATATTACCTGCATTTCATTCTGTATATAAATATAAACAAAACCTCTTTATTATGTAGACTTCAACATTGTTCGGATAATTTCTGTTAAGATATATTCGCTCCCTATCTAACGGCTACAAAATGCAACATTTCTATCTAAAGAACACATAACGTAAGATTATACCAGAAACACATTCAAATATCATCCTTAATGTAAGACCATATAGTATAATTTTATGCGAATCAAACCCATACACACAACACTTGAAACTAAGCTTCTCATGTGAATGTACCTATTTACTGTAAAACGATGACTTAATACACCATTTCAGTGGCGTACAAAATATACGATAGACGGCTAGAATCTAAATCACTTGTTTAAACAAAACATTAAAGCACTGAGAATAGAACACAATTTGACCAAAATGAAAGGTTAACAAAGCAATTTTTCCGTGTCAAAATTGAACATTGGGTTAAAAAGGTAAAACACGCAGGTACAGTGCGCGGTTATCGCAACGAGCAACTGATAACTGAGGTGTCAGGTCAAACGAGCAAACGGGGCGGCACCTAGGTACGTAGGTACTTAATACTGATAAGAACCGATAACGGGCTCTTAACCTTCCGACGGTGGCACTTGGCTGCAAACGGTGCCATCGCCTGAAGTCATTCGTCACTGCATACTTTTTGTTAAAGGTGAAATTAAACTATGTTGCAAACAAAGAATTTCTTGATCCATTAGTTGGAGTAAATTTTTGTTTAATTTTTTTTATACAATTTAGAGTTTACAACAAGCTGACGGCCCACCTGATGGAAAGTGGTAACCGTCGCCTATAGACATGAGCAGTACCATGGACATAACAGAGTATACTGTTTCGCTCATGATACCCCTATGCTTTGCCATTCCTGAGGACTCAGGTGTTATTCCTCTGTACCCTGTAAATTCACGAAAATATTCGAAATGAGCATGTGTATTGTCGTCATTCAGTTTAATATATTACTTCTGAAAGTTGATAATGAAAAAATTGTTAGTAAAAGAAACTAACTGCCCATACAACATACTCATTGTTGCTGTTAGTCAGTCAGTAAGATCGACGTCCATGTGGTCCCACCTGGAAACTCTCGTATTTAATTCCTAGTGAATTTATCACGATAGGCCAACTGATTTGACTTCGTCCTCGCCTATCATCACTCGCTAGTAAAGATTAAAATCACATTATCTTTCTATTGTTACTTGATTATTACAACTATTATTGCAAGATTATTATCATTGTGTTCTTATTTATTTAATATTTATATATGCATATAGTATATATTTATTAGTATTATATATTTTAAATATAGACATAATGATTTGTAAATTATGTAAATACTTATTATTGATGTTTTTATTTCTGTTTTACTACTGCTGTCCAGTCACTACTTTCTATACCATTGTATTAGGTTGACTGGAAGAGATCTCTTTTAGAGTCAAGTTCACCTTTGTTTACATTGTTTCTAATTGTTATTATACTATATATTTTAGTGCAATACAAAATATTTATAAATGCCCTCAAAAAACTCATAAAAAACATCGTGCATCATTCGAGATAAAATTCGTAGTAGTGACGTATTCAATTCAAAAAGTTAAGAAAACAATTGTCTTCATAATTACTGATTTACGAAGTTTTATCTCTTAGCCGTGTGGCCAACCCTTTCCCGTGGGTGTCGTAAAAGTCGACTAAAGGACAACCAGGGATGGGCAGCAGGGTCCCTCTTAAAACATCTGTAAAGCCTGATTGCGGTTGACAATCTGTCTGCTAAGCGTGATATCTACTGGCAAAGCCCCATGAGGAGGAAGCTTATGTTCAGCAGTGGACGGTTAAGAGCTGATATGATGATGATGATGATGACTCTTCTCTTGCAGCTTTTCCTGTGTGATTTAGGTTAAAAATGTACTGTGTTCAGGATATGGTCTTTGGTTTATATTTGATTCAGAAACAAGTAACAAACTTTCATATAATATACTTAAATTCTATTAGTTGCTAAGCGTATTATTATTTTCTTAATTGACTATACTGAATAAAAAACAAGGCTAATTGACATCCTCGTTAATTTTAAATATTTCTCTAAAACCAAACGAGTATTTTATTACAAATGATACTATGAGAAATTGTTGTAATAAAAGGTAAGTACTTAATCTACTTAACGAAATAGAGTGTGGTAAGTTAATAGCTCATCAAAGGTCAGCCACCCAAAGGCGACCCAATGTCCGATAACGTAACTATTGTTCAAAGTTTAACTTTACAGTTTAGATGCAAATAAAAACAATATAGGAAGTGTTCCTTAATTTTTTAATTTTAAAATTGGATGAATTATATTATGCTATAAATGCTTGTTGTAAAAAAATGAAAAATTTATTATTTTTTGATATATATATTTTTGATATATATATTTATGAACTGATTAGAAGTATACAGTTACTTTTCTGTATATATATGCGGCGTATATGCGGACGATTTTATAAGAATTTAGATATTTGAAGTATTTTTAATGGGTGACAATGGAAAGGTAACCCAGCCTACGCTATCGGTATACGTTGGCGGGACATCAGTAAGTAAGGGATAATGGGTCAGGATGAAAACAGGTTAGTTAGTCCATAGTTACGAATTACTTAGTCCATATTTAAGAATTAATCATAATATTTTCCAGGAGGAATTGCACGGATGTCGACATGCATAGGTATATTACTAGTAATGGGGTTGTTAGACTACCATTATTAACAATCTCTGTCTTCTTTATTTAAAACATTTGTCGAGTGTTGCTATTATTAGCATTGCGCATTCAGCGTAGTATCAGAGATGTTTTCTCTCACGAACGCTCAGATTATGTAATGAGCTCCCTGTCGAGATTTTTCCAAGAGATTACAGCATGGGGTTCTTGAAAAAGGGATAAATAGTTTTCTTTAGATTGGCAAAGCGCGTGTAATGCCCCTGATATTGCAGGTGTTCATAAACTACGGTAACCGCTTACCATCAGGTGGGCCATATTTTTTTTTGCCATCTCAATGGAATAAAAAAATTACGCAAGTCCATATTTCACCGAGTATAATAAAATCCAACGTGGCAAGGAGCGAACCTATTGACGTCACTCAAATTAATTTGTTCTCGGATAGTTGGCAATTTAAAATATACACAAAGTTTTTAGTGTCAAGAAATTTCAACAAGTTGAATCAGAATCACTGAGGATGTCAAGAAATTTTAACAAGATGAATCAGAATAAATGAAAATACGTTACGTTACACAGAGATTACTTTTTAATACAAATAATTATGTTAAGGTATAGATAAAAAGTAGACAGAGATAGGCCATATAGTATGTACATATGTATGTAGGTGTAGGTACGCGTATCGCTACGACCGGTCACACGTCGTGACTGCTGATAGTGTGATAATGATATCACCCGGGTACCACGGACTCGGCCGAAGGACAAAGGAACAATATCGAGGTAAATCTGTCTTTGATAAATATTTTTTCATTATAATTTATTTTTTAAACGCTGTGTTTTTTTAATTTATTTAGGTTAATTACATATTACTAAATTATAGGTATTTTATTTCAGATAAATATTTTATAATGTGTCATAAAATCACATTCACATTTACAATATCATCATCATCATTTCACCCTTTAACTGAGCGCTGCTGATCATCAGCCTTGATGCGCTTGTCAGACAGATTGGCAACTGCAGTTAGGCTTTAGAGATGTTTTAAGAGGGACGCTGCTGCCCGTCCCTCGCCCTCCCTTAGTCACTTCTTATGATATTCACGGGAAAGGAAGGGGTGACCTATTCTATGCCGGGACCAAACGGCCTATTTTTATAATATAAGCAAAGATTTTTATATTTTGTGAAATTTAATCTACACCTCTGTTTCAACTAATATATTACTGATTTCTTAAACCAATTTGAATTACAGGCAAATATATTGATGTTACTACAAGTGTCGCTATAACAGATTGCTACTCGATTAAGTGGTGCTCGTTTACCAGAATTTGTTTTAATTCGCCAGTCAAAATATATTGTAGTTATAGTTTGTTTAACTTAAGTAGTCCAGAATCAGTAAAGAACTAAATATTTGTTTATGATCTCGAGAGTGTAACGGTTTATCACTGTACCTTACCTTTCAATGGTCAAGGGTTTCATTCCTGACAATACTTGATAAACATTTGCATCGACGACAGACCTCCTTTTATGTGAATATACCTTTTTTAAATTAATATTTTTCTATTTTGAATATGTCTTTCTATGACTTTTTGTTTATTATATTTGTTTATTGTTGCCTTCTCTTTCATTAAGGCACAATTAACCCGTCAAAGAATGGGCCACCCCTTTCTTTCTTATGGGTATAGTAAGAGGCAACTAAAGAAACTTAATAGTCGAGGGATGAACAGCAGTGTTCCTCTTAAAACATCACCAAAGGCTAACTGGGGCTGCCAATCTGCTTGCGAAGCGTGGCAACTACCACCACCTTATGAAGGAGGCCTATGTTCAGTAGTGGACAGTTAACAGCTGAGACTAGATGGCGCTGCGTATAATATGATATATGTGTTATTTATTTTAAATCAGATCTTGTAATACTGTTACAATATTGCTTCATCAAGGTCTTCGTGCTGAATGATGGGATTAAAACAAAGAACAGAAGATAGTTTGGGACATGATTCACCGTCAGAAGTGGCAATTCACAGTATACTATGTTATGCCCACGGTAAAGAGGGCCTATCATGAAATGTTTTTTGAAATATTGGGCCAAATGAAACACAATTTGACGTTAAAATCACATAATACATACCGTTTAAAAGTATTCAAAATGTTAAAATATCGTACTTTTGGACTTTTATGATAGGATTTATGATGAACGAAATGTTAAGCTCCATTTACTGGGCCGATTTCTGTATGAACAAAAACACAAAATTCAGTCCAAAAATTCGAAACTTTATTTCATTGTAGACTCCCTGGTCTTATCTATAGGCGATGGTTATCACTTTCCATCAGATAGGCTATCAGTTCGTTTTCTAAGTGGCATAAAAAAAGAGTTGTAATTATATATAATCGTATCTGCTGTGAACTATCTAACTTCGCAGTTTTTTGAGAAATTTTCAGATTGATCACTGCAAGTGAGTGTCGTTAACCATTAACTGTTAACCATGTCGGTAACATTGCTTAAAAGAATAAATACATAAACACGTATTTTGATTTCGCCCTATATATGGATTTCAGTTAATTCCATAAGTGCATGTGCTTTTTGTTTCAATTTTGATCTTATTTTAGTTTTTGGTAAAATAAAACCTAAACGACAAATTTATTTAGAATCACAAGTAGTGTTTCTAAATAATTTTTTTCTGCAAAAAAAAAGTAAACCGTTTCAAAATTAGAAATTTTAATTTAAAAACCAAACTGCTAAACTCATTTTCGATAAAGTTTCTATGAACCAATTTACAATTACGATGGATTTCTGAAACTTAATAATTACTTTATACTTATTAAAAAAACTT